GAGGACTCACTGCATTGCCTTCTTAACCTCAAATCATTATTTCCCTTTATCACGAACCCAAAACAAAATCACAGAGGCAAAGCTGATAACGAGGTAGAGCTCATGAACCAAGGAATTCCTTACCTGCCTTCGTAACGAGTTAATGTACACAGGAGTCTTACGAACAGCTCATACGGCCCTCAAAACATACCTCTGGAATACATATTATCTCAGCTTTCCCAAAAGGAAAATGACGTTTGGAGACACGAGGTTCACGGTCACATAGCGGATAATGGAGCTGGCACGCAAGTAAAACATTCCACGTTCTCTTCACTATACAGCACCACCTTAATGTCTAGAAGTTTATAATTAATGCCCATTTTTAAAATAAATAAGCTTTAAAATAAAGGTTGCAATGCAATGTTTAGAGTAACAGCATCACACAATCATATGCCCCAGATATGCCTCAAACTATTAATCTTCTAAGCTGTCATAACTCATGTATGTGTTCAGACTACAGTTCTCTTACACGATAGCGAAAAAAAAAAATACAAGCTGGTTAGTTTCTAAAGTACCTCAGATGACCCTGGCATAAAAACGATACTAATTATTATTTAATAAAGCTTAGTTATATTTAGTATTTAAATCTGACACTAATAAAACTCTTATTAAACAAATAAGCTCTTGGAAGAATATCAAAATGCTTTGTAAATAATCTGCTATACCAGGCAAACTAAAAATTAAGGGGAAATGCTACATACTGCATGACTCCAACTACGTGTCATTCTGGAGAAGGCGAAACTATGGAGACAGTAAAAAGGTCCGTAGTGGCCAGGGGTTAGGGCAGAGCGGCGGTGAACAGGCAGAGCACAGGAGTTTTTTAGGGCAGCGAAACTACTCTGTATGATATGACAATGACGGGCACGTGCTATCACACATACCTCAAAACCCATGAAAATACACCACCAAGAGTGAACCCTAATGTAAACTATTGCCTTTGGGTGATAATGATGTGTCAGTATAGGCTCATCAGTTGTGGCAAATGCACCATTCTGGCCAGTGATGTTGGCAATGGGGGAGGCTGTCCATGGGGGTGGCAGGGGTGG